TATTTTACTTGGACATTCACCAATAGTAATTATATTATAATGTTGAAAAACTTTTTCATTCATTTCTTGAACAAATTCATGTACACGTGGTCCATTTAAAAAATGTGCTGAACCATCTGTATATTGACTTTTATTATTCTTACATTTTCCTTCAGGATAACCAGGTGTTTTAGATAGAAAATTAATTACATTCAAACGAAAACCATCAACACCTTTACCAAGCCACCAATGCATTATTTTATACATTTCATCACGTACCATTGGATTATCCCAATTAAGATCAGGTTGTTTTGGTGTAAATGTATGTAAATAAAATTCACTTGTAATAATATCATATGTCTATAAAAGATAATAATTACCAAAAACAAAACAAAAAAAAAAAAAGAAAAACAAAATGTAAATTTACCCAAGCAGGACCACCAAAACATGCTCCCCATTGATTTGGTGCTTTTCCATCATGTGATGGTGCCCAATGATAGAAATTTCTATATGGATTATCTTTACCTTTTTTTGCTTCAATAAACCATGGATGTTCATCACTTGTATGATGAATAGAAAGATCCATAATTAATTTTAATTGACGATTTTTCATTTCTTTTAACATTAAATCAAAATCATTCATTGTACCAAATTCAGACGTTATTTTATAATAATCACGAGTATCATATCCATTATCATAATTAGGTGAATCATTAATTGCACTAGAAAACAAAAAAACAACGAAATGAATTTTTTTTTTTCTGAACAAAAATTTTTCTAACCTTAACAAAATTATATCAACACCTAATTTTTTTATATAATCAAGTTTCATTGTTATACCATTAATATCACCAATACCATCACCATTGGAATCAAAAAATGATCGTGGATAAATTTGATAAACAACTGAATGATGCCACCAGTCCTTATTTTCTTCTGTTGACATGATTAATCTTTCTAAAATATACAAAAAAAACCATGAAATAGAATAAATTATTTGCTTAAAAGTAAATTAAAAATATTTCATATTGCTTTTTATTTTTTTGCTCCCAAGGACTAAAAATAATGCATCGGATAATAGAACATACTAAGTAATTATTAAAAAGGAAGGTTATCAATTTGAAAACTATTACAATTGGTAGAATGCAATCCAAAAATGTAGAGGTCACTATTTGACAGAATATAAATAAGAAAACAAATTCCAGTAAATAAAGCAATGAAAATTCAGTATATAGGATTTATAATGCTTGCACAGCTTCTAGTTCAAAGTACAGATCAAATAAACGAAAAAATTTCTTCTATTTTGAAAATAGTATTTCAGTGATACAACAAAAAATTGTTTGGACAGACCGATTCTTCAACTCCAAACTAGAACTGAACTTATCGACTTTTAGTTATCAAACGTAACAATGTGTATGAGTTATTGTTTTATGATGATCTGTAATATTACCTTGTGAAAGATAACTATCAGCTGAGACATAAAATTATTGTTATAGAATACGTATTATTATACAAATTGAAAGCTTCTGTATACATCGGAGTAATCGTTGAGTAAGTCAAAACATTATTTATGAATACTCTTTTTACAAATTGAATATTCTATTGAACACTTAGAAAAATGAGGTTGATTAGAAGACAGTTAGTGTTTCATATAGAAACAAAAAATACTTTTCTGGTAGATTGTAATTATTTTTTTGTAATATGATATTGCTTTCTTGTAAGTGCATGTGTCAAAAAGAATAAATCCAACTAAAATCATGTTTTTTTTAGTATTAGTAGTTTAAAATTCTAAGCTGTTGAGATTCTCGTTGCTATAGTATATTGAAATTGGACTTAGTAAAACTAATTCATATGATGAAGTTTTTTTGATTTCATCAATATATATATATAGGTATTGCTAAAAGTTCAGTGAAATCTTTCGTCTTTTGATTAAAGAAATGTATTTATTAAAAGAGAAAAATTCATCATTTGTCTTTTAGATTTTTTTTTCAACATGCTGAATCACGAAGTTCTGCTGTTTAGTTACAAATGATGCAAATATTTTCAATTTGAGAGATTTCGTATGGATGCAAACTGTAGAATCTAACGGTGGTTAGTTTTCTATTTAAGATCGAACTCTTCAAATATCATTACCATCCTATCCAGGTTTGACTAAGATAAAGCAAAATGATCATGGCACATGAAAGATTCAATCTTGTTTTTTACCATTGATTTTTAATATATTCTCGACAATATGATCTGACGATGGGTCACATATAGAGCTATATGCACCGATCATTGTAGTAAAAAAAATAAAATTTTTAAATTTGACAAATAAATAATGGTGCTAAAATTAACATATTGAAAAACTTCAAGCAGATCTATTGCTGAGGTTACGATATTCTTCAGTAGTTTGACCTTACACAAGAGAACTATTCGAAACGATAAATTGTTTTTTACTGCGAATTCTGTGCATACGGTAGATCTCCATAAAGTATGAAAAATGCTAAAATAATAAATGCTCTTAGGTCTTCCATCCAGAGTTATAGCCATTTTACCAGAAACTTAGTCCATAGGGCAGGCCTCGCAATGAAATCGCTACAATCAACGCTAATTCCTGATTTTCTGATTTTTTTTTACGTTGACTGTAGCGATACGTTGCGAGACCTGATAGGGCGATATACAGCAACAAATCAAATGATGGTATTGCAACTTAAAATTTTGCCTGCTGATAGACCTACTTGTAACTAGAATGTCTCGAAATTTTCAGCTAAAAATAATGCTTTCTTCACGAGAAATTGTATCCCAAACTCAATATCTAGTGAAGGAAAAATTTTTTTAGCTGAACATTTCAGACCATTCTAATTACAAGTAAGCTTAGTTGTGGACAAAATTTCAAGTTAAAATACCACCATTCGATTTATAAGTATATACCGATTCGTACCGGCTAGAAAATATTTTATAGATAAGCCATTTTTTTTTGTTCTGATAATATTTGCACTCAACAAATTTGTGTGCTGTTATCATAATAATCAAAGTGTTGTTTTAAAAGTTATCAATTTTCTTTTCTTTTACTCGTCTACATTGTTCTATATTTCATTTTTTTCAACAAAAACCCTATCAAAATTATATTACTTGAACTAAACTTATCTCATACATGTTTTATTAAAGATCAAATTTAGATTTAGATCATTGTTCGAAGAAAAACGTTTGATTTATCCGTCAAGATTGAGTGAAAAAAAAAACAAAATTTGGAATTTGACCATCAGTTGAAACCAAACAGATGTAAATGATTATAAGCACTTTTCCTTTTGGAGTTTTTTATACTTCATTAGAGTCTATCTTTTGCACAGAGTCCGAACTCAAAAACAATTTATAACATGAAACAGCTCCCTAGTTAGAACTGTTATGGGTGTGTGAAGAGACTATCTAAATCCAAGTCTTCACTGATACCCTAAAACGTTTTTCTCTTTAAAATACTCAGCAGAAATAATTCCAGAAGATTTTATAAGCGAAAAAATTTTCTACGAAACATTGTTTCTATGAATAACTACCTATGACATTACTCCATTACACTTGTAAAATATTGAAACTTTCAATGATAATACAACACATTATCATCCTATGAATGATCATTTATATTGCTGAGTCACAGCTTCGATAAGTTTTTATTTATCTTTACGTTTCTGTCACACCTTCTATAAAGCATCTTGTGAAGGAAGAAAGTTGGAGCAGAATGGTACATGAGAAATTTGCTTAGAATTGCAAAAGGTACACATACAATTTTTCGAAAGCTAAAGACGTTGAAGTGTTTTTTTGTAATAACAAAAAATGAAAACTTTCTCCATTTGAGGGGCACTCCCCTGTCGTGACATTTCTACATGTTACCAAAAACACACATACTTTCAAAGGCTCTGTAGAATCATGTTGCCTTCGATGCATTAAGTCAGGGACGATTGCTTTGTTTCATTACACATTGTTGAATCATGATTTATCCGTTTGCTTGATTTCCCATAATCTGTTTAACAGTTCTAAAAATAGTAATAAAAAGAAAGAATAATAATGACGTAGATGTTAATATAAAATACGGCAAACATGATATATAACTATGTCAATACTTCATTTTTTCTTCACTCAATGATAAAACGACGAAATAGTGAATCATTGTTGTTCTTATATAAAACAAATTCATGTTGTTTTCTAGAATACTAACTATTATCTTTATTATTTTATAATAATTTTCTAAGCAAAAAAAAGTTTGATTTAATAAATAAAATAGTTTTATTTAAAAATAAATTTTGTTTTTTATTTTTTTATATTCATTGAAATGTCTTCATATGTAATAAATGTTATATATTAAATTCAAACAACTCTTCAACGAAAGCGGCATGAGAAAGAAAAAGTCAAAAATATAAAATAACTCATAATCAAAATCTTTTTTCAATGTTATTAAAAAAGAATAGTTTCCTACTTCATTTGATTTGAATCTTATTCATACATCTTCTTTTATCCATAATAATAAATTCTTACAAATATTTTCAAAATTTATATTAATTAAAAAAAATATCCAAATGATTCATATGTACAGATAAAATTTATAATACAAAATATTATAAATCAATAGTAAACTTATTAGGATATGAATTTTATTAAAAATTTTACCCTTAGACAAAATAAAAAATTTATTTATAAAAATATATGGACATTTCAAAAGTTTGATATTGACTTTCAACGTATGTTTCATATTCATAACAATGGATAATATCCTTGGATATATTTTTTTTTTATCGAACGAAAAAGAAGGCGTGACTTATTCTTTCTATTTACCCTTGTTTTTCTTCTGAGAAGCGTAAAAAAAATAGGAGTACGAGCACGATTGCATTCTTTGTTGAAACTTATGTTGACTACCTGTATTACGAAATCGTTTCGTTCTTTTTTCAGTACAAAAAAAAATTTGGGCTATACACAAAAACACGATATAAATTCATATTTTATACAATAATACGACAATAAGTATTCGAATACGAATACGAAAAAAAAGGATGACTACGACAAGTAAACGACGTAAAACATCATTAAATAGACAACGTGAGAAAAATTATTATTATTTTATATATTTTCTTTTCATTTAATTCATATAGACTCTAGTGAATTATCTTCAAAAGTTAACAATATTGACTCATATGATTTATCAACTGATCATAATTTCATTGCACCAAATGAACGATTTTCTAATTGTGTTGGTTTATATTCTGTTTTAATGAATAGACATATTATAGATGCACCTTTTTCAAAATTATATCAACAAAGGTAAATCTAAAGAACAATATTATAGTTAATATATATATTGATTTGAATCATTGTATAGTTTACAAATTGGATGGGAAAATCTATTCATACAAGAACGACAAAAATTAAAACCAAATGATGTTTCAGTTTTGAAATGTTTTGTTTTAAATCGATTATTATATGAATATTACAAAGTAAGAATACAAAAAAAAAACAAAATAAAAATAAATATTTAAAATTAATTCTAGAAAATATTATTATTTTTTTTTTTATTCCTTGTACATATCAAAAATTACATCGTTATCTGAAATTTGACATAAGTCTAGAATACATATAGATAGTTTCATCAATATACAAAAAAAAACAGTAGCAATTCAAATCGACCTCAGTCTTTCTTCCAAGAACATCAAACATTGTAGAAAAATATTGTTTCTTCATAGAATCATTCTTGAAGAAATTTAAAGCAAAAAAAACAAAATATTTCAGTTTGATCATTCATAAATGTTTGACTAATGGTCTAGTATTATTCATCGAATACGAATATCAATGTCTGTATGAATCTATAGTTACAGTGCTTGTTTATATTATTCTAAGTTTCATCATAACGAAAGTACATATGTGTGAGTAACGTGAAGGAAAAAAGCAGGTATACACATGCTTGAAGTACAAAGTGAAGTGTAAGTGAAGGACAATTGTGTGCAAAAAGTACGGCAAAGTACAGATGAAACATAATGAAGTCATGCTTTTCTTCTTCTCATTTCAATGGACCATATTTTTTTTTTTGACTAATAATTATATGATTTCCATATGTTAAATGCATATATATGCATAAATTATAAGTCTATTAAAAAGAATGTTTATGATAAACTGTATTTATTGTTTTTCGAAATTCATCTGAAAACATATTTTGAATGATTAATTCTCTAAATGATTTGCTTTTGGTTGGATAAAAAAAATAAAGAAAAAGTAAATTGGTTTCTTTCAGAATTTTATTATTATTATTATTTATATTTTCAGGATTCGGACTTATTTGATCAACAAACAAAAATTTTATATGATGAAATTAAATCACGTATGATTAGAGAATTTGCACAATGGGTAAATAGTTAATGATAAATATAATAATTATATTTATATGATTCTTTTTCTTTTTTTTTGTCAGACACCACAAGATCTATTTCATGAAGTTCGACGTTGGCAAAATATGCAATGTCGACGACGTTTATTCTATTTTCATCATCAAGAAACTACACCATTACCAGGTTTATTAATGTTACATAAAGCGTATGTATTATAGAAATTTTTTTTTTTTTTTTCGATTATATCTATATGATATTTAGTGCAACTAATTGGTGTCATTGTTTAATAAAATATTGTCAACAAAATAAAACATTTTGGGAAACAGAAGGACGTAGTCGTTTTATAGAACATTTTCAACAGTCGGTTTAGAGTTTTATTTTTGTTTTTTTTGAAATTAAAATACAGAAAATATATATTTCTATAGTTCATTTATTATCGTTGCTCAACCAACAGGTTCAGATGGTTTGGCAGTTATTCAATATATGAAGAATGGATTTAGTCATACAGCGAAATTACATTCACGTATTATATGTTTACTAGATCCAGATATTCTCACAAATTATATAGAACTATCAAAAATAGGTATTGTAATAGTATTAGATATATTATTAAATGATATATTATATATGATTATTTCTTAGATGTCATACTTTATCCATTGTATCGAGAAGCAAATAATAAAAAAGAAGAACAACCATCAATTAAATGGGAAATACGACAAGTAATGAGTACTGAAGGTGTTCCTGTATCAATTAATTATGCTGAAATTAATACACTTGAACTTGGAAATTTTGATTCTGTATATAAACGTCTTTCATTTAATTCAACACTTTGTCAATTAGAATTTCGAATAAAAATTAAAGTAACAAAATTTATTTTCATGAATCTTATTATTTGTTTTTTTTTTATATCTATATATTATAAAATTAGATAAAAGATCCAGAATTCGAAGAAACTATTATATTAAAATCACAACCATTTGGTATTTGTTCTCATGGACAATATTTTCCAAAATTTCTTGCACAAATATTTCTTTATGAAATGAAACAGGTTTTGAATAATGTATGTAATAGACATTTGTATATATATATAAAGTGTTTTATAAGTTTCAATTCCATTTTTTTTCTATTGGCTATATGCGCAGATGGATGAATATATATATTTGAAATAGTAGCACATAAGATATTATCTAAGAGAAATAGGACTCAAACAATATACAACATTGGTAAAAATATTGAAAAGATTTAATTAAAGTTATTTCTTTTTTCAATGTACCCGAATGTTATAGAATTTCATTTTTTAGTCTGTGGTGAGCTGTATCTCTGTGAAAACAAAAGTAAATACCCTGAAATTTTCATTATAGATGAGTTCATTTAGATCTTTCATCATGAAAGTTTCATTCGTCGCAGTAGAGTTATTCTCGAAATACTGACTTCTATGCAATCAGAGATGTACCGATTCCAAATCCAGCCATAATCAAGTCCAGATCTTGGTTTGGATTTGACTAGATCAAATCTAGTCAAATCCAAACCAAGAATTGGAATTGTCTTTGACTATATTTGATATCGATGCATTCCTAATTGCATAACATTTAGTATTTCGAAAATAACTCTACTTTGACGAATGAAGTTTTCATAGATGATAGATCTGACTGAGAGCCATCTATAATGAAAATTTCAAGATATTTGCTTTTGTCGTCATGGAAATACGACTTACAATAGACGAAAAATTGAAATTCCACAATGTTCGATCATGTTGAAAAATAACTTTGATAAAATATTTTCAATATTTTTATGAATATAGTACTTTCTTTGAGTTGATACAAATTGAGTCCGATTTCTCTTAGGACTATTTTACGGTATAGAGTGTTAACTAGCAACAAATTCATTAGTTCGATATCTTCTCTATAACTAATATAAGCTGTAGCTTCGGCTAGAAAACCGGCATAAGCTCCCCATACACTCTGACTAATCACATACTAGCCACAAGAGCATGTGTATGTCACAATTTAGTCAGCATGCCATCGGACGGGTAATTCAAGACAAATAACTGTTAGTAATTTATCCAGGATCATTTTATTACCTAATACTACCGATATTTGAGCACATATTCTATTTGATATGCGCCAAACAGCTATGACAACCCCATTCACCTGCAAATACGACCAATATACAAAAAAAAATAAAAATGGAGTGAAAACTGACGAAATACCCTTTATATGGACCATTTCAGGCAAAATAGGACATGCTCATCTTTCATTTGACTTTAATTCTTTACAATAGTTATTATTCTGAATAAGTTCTTTTAACATAGACATAATCTTATGAGGAACAAAAAATTCGAAAAGGTCAAAAGAAACTTTATGACACGAACCGCATCGATAATGAAATTTTCAGCAAGATCAGTCTTCAGAAAAGAAACCTTCTCTTAAAAATCCGTTTTCTATAGATTCTTTTAAGTTCTAAAACAAAAACTTTTGTCTTACTATCATCTAGAGATTTTGAATAAGGAATTATACCATTTAGATTTAATTTTTTCGTATTATGCCACTAACGACAAGTAAATCGATTTTTTTTTTGAAAAATCTAAGCATACTGAGAAAAAAGTTTTGATAGTGATTTTGTAATCGTAGACCTTGTCTACAGAATGTATTAAGATACACGTACTTTAATTTTGTAAAATCAAGTGGCTAACGAATGATTTTGTCTGTATATGATTTTCTTGTTGTAGGACGATGAGGCAATAAATCCTGATATTATTATTGATTTCATTCGTCGTTATTATATACGTATGACAGGTGTTGAATTACTTGATCATACGAGTCTATATATTCGGCAAGTGTTTACACAACCAATCAATGGTTCGATATTTATGAAAAATTATTCTATACATATATATATTTACATATATTTAGATATGAAGAGTACAATGATAACTAATAATTCAGATAATATATATGAAGTAAGATGAAATTTAAAGTTTTTATAATTTAAACTTTCATTGATATATTCGAAAGGAAATTTTAGCTAAAATTATAAGTCAAATTCATTTTTTGATTTTACATCCAGTTTTATCATTAATGTATAATGATAGGTAGAGTTATTAATATTTTATTATGTTGATTCATTATTTTTTTTTTGTTTTGGATAGCCTTTTTCTTGGTATATGCAATGGTATTGAAGTTGATAAAATGTTAAATGGTACTCGAGAACAACCTCATTTATTGTTACGATTTAATACTCTTATGCGTCATCAATGGAATGCAAATGTTATTGTTCATTTTATTGTTCATGATGGTAGACATAAAATTGATATTTCTTTTTTTTTTTTTTTGAATAATAATATTCATCACATGTATAGGTCATTTAAGAAGAGCAAGTTTTGATATGAAGACATTTGCTAATGAATTATGTAGATTCATTTGTGAATCAACAGGTGATACGACAAAAAAAGCATTAGTCTTATCTACCACATCATCTCGTAATTTTACAGATTTTCAATGGTATTTCCGTGAGTTATTTACATTTGTTATATGTAATTTATACTGTTTAATTAAATGTAGATCATGAATTACATCGACTCAATAAAATGGCATCTCCAAGTAGTGATACTTATGATCCATTGTTACCTATTCTTTGGATGACTATGTAAGAATGATAGTTGAAATTATTTTATTTTCTATTATCTAAATGATTATTTCTTAATTGTAGGAGAGGCAATGATGATAATGATGATGAACAAATGAATGTTATATCTAATAATATGATTCAAAAAAGAAAAAGACATCGTTCTAATTCTTTTCCACAAATAGAATCTGTTTCGTCAGTTTCTCCATTGACTACAATGAATATTGTTGTAAATATTGATGGCAAAGATGATGCTTCATTGGAATCAAAAAGTTCATCTCCAGATTCTAATTGCTTAGGGTTACTCAAGTCTAGTAAGATGATATGAATTCGTTTTAAAATCGTTCATACTAAAATGGATTTACGTTTACTTTCAGATAGTAGTAATTCATTGGCAGCAGTAGATGAAGCCTGTCAATCAAGTAATCATGAAAATACTACAAAGAATCGACATTTTTTAATTGAAGTACCTGGAACTATAGAAATATCTCCTGCAGTACTTTTTCGTCAATTAGCAGAAAAATTTGCTAGTTTATCTAATGATAAAAATGAAGATACATCTTCTAATTATCTTATTCGACCAAAGCAATCAAAATTATCATTATCCAATATAATCTGTGTAAATGATTCTAGACAAATGAAAACTCTTTCTGTTGATTCTATAAGCGATTCTCATTTATCTTGTGATGTAAGATCTTTTTTTTTCACATACAAAACAATGTATTTTTTTTTTATTATTTTTATACTTAGCAGATTTCAAAAACTGAATCGAGTCCATTAACCGATGTTATTAACGATGATGCACCAAATCAGTTGAAGATTAAAGAAGAACCGGACGATATTGATTATGTTGTTTTACATAATAGAGCGACATATAAATAAATGATTGTTATAAATATTAACTAACAAATTCTATTTTATAATGAGCTGAAAAACTCAACGGTTGTCGTGTCAATATTCGTCTTTATGTTGTATATTTTGTTCAATGATAATCTTGCTTTTGATTTCAAGAAATCTTCTTTCCATATTTATAGACTCATTAATTATTAGAATTTTGACATAAATCAATAGTGTACAGGCAATCTAGTTGACGAACACCTTTCAATTTTCGACCTTCATTTAACTACTTCTGCTGTCAAGATGAAACTTCGTACTACTTTAAAGTTCGTTTTGAACTAAAATGAAAAGTCTATTTTTCAGGCGAAGAACCAACAAATGTCTAAGTGTTATTTTATCATGATTATTGCAACAAGTCTTCATCGAAAGAAATTACAATCATACTTGTTACAAAAACTAATCTATTAAAGAGATGATTTGTTTAATTATGATCTTATGATTCATTTTCATTCAGTTGTCACTCGATACTTCCCGAAACTTCTTCGAACTTCTTTGATCGCACATAATTTTCTGCCAATTTAATAACTATCTTCAAATGTCTCATGCATTTTTTTAATACTTCCATATTGTCTACATTAGGATGTATCAAGCCTTTTCCAAATTTCTGATGTTTATTTTATTGCTGATATAAATATTCATAACTATTCAAGATCATCACTTGACAGAGCATTATTACATTTTTCTAAATTGTTCGAAAACCAGTCGGGATCTTTTCATTTGGTTGATATCACTTTTGATTTATTGGAGTTCAACATTTTTTAATGATTTTCTGGTACTTCTTTGAGAAGGTTATGTTTAGTTCTTATTGTTGAAAGACTAAAACGTACCGAAGATTCGAATTTATTTGATAGTGTTTTTTCTCATAAGTATATAGTTACAAATTTTTTTCTATTTGTGAATTTTTGCTATGTTTCTAGAAGGAAAAAGCGTACTTCTGTAGTTCAGGAGTATTTTGAACTACGATGACATATATACAAGTATGCAGATGTGCTTACGGGATAACCTGTCCAAATGACACCCGCCGTTTGAGCTCATATTGAACCCACAAGCATGTCTCAATGGGACTAGCAAAAGTTTAAAAGGCCTCGTCTACATTAGCCTTTGGTATCTAGTTATGATCGATCTATTGGATTTTTAATCCATTTTGAGGTACTCCCCATAAGATCCGATAATACAATATCGATCCAAAATTTTGCCGATAGATAAGTCTAGTGACTCTTAGAATATGCTGAACGTTTCAATCGAAAAGAATATTCCTTCCTTGACTTATTGAATTTTCAAGTGAACTCGATTTTTGTGAAATGTCTGTGGCAAATGAACATTCTTTTTGGCTGAAAATTTTAGGATATTCTAAGAGTCATTAGCCCTATCTATGGAAGCCAAACAATTGCTTGCTAGGACACTTGCTCGCGGGTATCTGTGGAAGATGTAAATGTGGGCGTGAGGGAAATGATTTTGGGTGTGATGGATGTAGATGCGAGTGGAGATCTTCTCTTCATCCAGACACACACACACACTAATACCCACGCCCACTTCCACATTCCATATTCTCAAGTACGAAGAAGTACGAGGGAGGGCCAAAAAGTACAGAAGTATGTGTTTTTCCTCTTGCTAAGTTCATATAAAATATTAGTCAGTAAGAATCGTTGATGAACATCTGTTGACACATCAGAAAGCAAAGAAATATTACCGAGGACGATGTCTAAAAAAATCCGTATACACACAGAAACGACCGAATACACTCTGTATTTCACCATATACCATCGTATTTTGGCGTATTAGATGCCCAAATATTATGGTCTTACTTCTTTGTATTGTGTACGGAAAGGATGTGGGTGTGCATAGCTACCACAATCCTACGTATTTCGATATTGCTGAAATCTATCATTCTATCAAGTGGTGAGTGTGGCTGTAAGTTTTAGGTGGCAAGATCCAGATTTCATGCACCCAAAGAGACAATCATCAGTTGGCGCTGTAGGTAGATGTAAGTATGGGTCTGGGTATGAGTGTATGTGTGAATGAACTAAAGACCCAGACTCACAATCATACCTCGCCGACACTCATACTCACATCCATACGTACACTCGCACCCACATCCTACACCTAGATTTATAAATCCAACTAACAATATAGTGGATGCAAATAAATACTGAAGACCAGTCACAATAATGCCTTGTTTTGCACCTTTCACCCACTTTAACAGCCATTTCTGCAATTATGAGATCAAACTATTCATCAGCGTTACCAGCTCACACCAAACTTTCTTTCCTAATGATAGCTGCTCAATACCAAACCATTAATATGGAACTATTCAACTCAATGCTTCTATGACTGGAACATAAACAATCACTTGCAATAGCAGCTTGAATATACAGGGTGTCCTAAAAGCCCACCATGAAAGTAAATTTGAATAACTCCATTATTTATCAAATTTAATTAAAATTACTATGATATGTATACGAGAAAAAAAACATATAAACGTATCGAGTCTTAAATGACTAAATGATTAATTGTATTCTAATGATGATAGATTGAATTGAACCAAGAGTTTTTGTTTTACGATAATCAGTTTACAACTTTTATTGATATCTAAACTACGCGGAGTTAATTAAAAACGAATTTAACAATTTCTATTCATTTCGACCTTGGTTTTTGTTAACGGAGGATTCGATCTAACTGGTCGATAATGAATGTATAGCTCTTTATTTTCCAAATGGTCACGGTATATATGTGAACGAGCTAGAAAAAGTCAAAGGAAGTTGACAAAAGAAGAGAATGAAAAGGAAAAATACCTGAAAGTGAAGGAAAGAAAAAAAGGAATACATATATGTATGTCGTACGTATCATCGGTGTGACACAAGAGAAGAAAAGAAAGAAATATCACATACACATATCTCTTTTGGGTGTAAAAGGCGGCATGTTTTTCATTGAGGAGAAATTTGCTTTAACATTGCTGTTTCTTTTCTTTTTCTCTTCTTCAAGATATTCGTGCAATAATGACGAGGTAAAAAAAAAAATATCCAGGAATACACGTGCGATGCTTTCTTTTATCTCATATAAATATTCCCTTCAAAATATCCTCGTTCTCTTTCTTTTCTCTTCAATAGTCGAATCAATATCTAACTACCATCTATGTCGAGATACAAACTTTATTTTTTTAATGGACGTGGTCGTGCTGAAGTCTCCCGTTTAATATTTGCTATTGCTGGTCAAAAATATGAAGATATTCGTTATGAAGGTTCTGAATGGCCATCATATAAAGCTGAAATGCCTTTACGTCAAATGCCTGTCCTAGAATTTGAAGGCACAAAATTACCACAATCATTATCTATCGCTCGATTTCTTGCTAAACAATTTAATTTGGCTGGTAGAGATAATTTTGAACAAGCCAAAGTTGATGCTGTTGCTGATACAATTAGTGATTTGTTAGGAAAATTTATTCCACCTCGTTTCGAAAAAGATAAAACAAAAAAGCAAGAACTTATGAAAAAATTCTTTGATGAAAAAGTACCTAAACATTTACAAAATCTGGATGTTTTAGGTAAATTATATGGTAATGATGGTCCATTCTTTGTTGATAATCATTTAACATGGGCAGATTTGTTATTCTATGATATATTAGAAACTCTTCTTGGAATAGATGAAAATTGTTTAAATAATTATCCATGGTTAAAACAAAATCGTGCAGAAGTTGAAAAACAACCAAGAATTGCAGAATATCTCAAAAGTCGTCCGAAAACACCACATTAAAAAAAAAATGAAATTGATCAACGAAAGAAATCGATGAGTATTTATAGATTATTTTTGTCTGTTATTCTTTTAACATTTTTTAAATATATAAAACAAAATTTCAATGAATCTTTTTCTCTAACTTACTGTCTTTTATGTCAAATCTCGAATATTTCTGAAATAATGCTAAATTGATGTGCCTATCACTTTTATCATTTCATCAATTGATTCAATAATACCAAAAATTACTTTACATCCATTCAAATCTCTAAGAACATGATTAATTAATATTTTTTATCCAATGAAGGACAAATACTATGTTTTGGTAGGATTAAAAAAAGCATGATGATATTCGCACAGTTTATATATTAATATTATGTTTTCATGTTACATTAAATGATCTTGAAGAAATATTTTTAAGTCGATTTATAATTAAAGAAAAATCATATATCGATACTGAACAATATACTTTATTACAGGTTTTATATTTAAGATTGTTAAATTAGAAAGAAAAAAAAAATATGAATACTGTTTTTTTTTCTGAATAGGAAAAAGTTCATAGATTAAAAATTATTGATCCGTTATGACAAAATATAAATAATTTTCTTGCATCAGATTCATTAAATCTATTACAAAGTGTTGGACCAACAAAACGATTATCGGATTTATAAAGAAAAAACTTATGATGAAGCTATTGAAGGTTAATAAATATTCTAAAATCTCATTTAATATCTTTTTTTTTAATCATTTCTTAGATTTCATCGAGTTGCATTACAAGAAGCGAAATTTATTTAAAACTCGTAATAGTTATAGAAAATTAGCTCGACATCAATTAACTAAAAATGCATTTATAACAATTTATCGAATATTAAATGATCATGATCGAAGTGTATTTGCTACTTATCTTGCTATAGTAGTATGAGAAAATATTTTTTTGTAGGTAAAAACACATATTTAGTTTGAATCATTTAATTGTCGTCAAAATCAACAATTCGATAGAGAATACTTCAACTGATGAACGAGAATTTATTATATCACCATTATGATTTTTTGGTCATATAAAAAACTATTTAATTGGATAACAGATCAAACATATCAAAATCTTCAAATATTATATTTTACATAAAACATATTTAAATATCAATTTCCTTTTCTTTTATTTAGTATTTTTTTGATTGATTTGCTGATGTATTTGAACGAATGGTCAAAGAAGGTCAAGAAGCTAAATGATGTTCATAATGTGCAGATGAAACAGAAAATTATCCATTACCATCGCCACTTGAACAACTTGAATCAATACAAAAATGTTGTCTTGTATGAGCATTGAGAAGTGATCGATTACTTGAAGCATCAACTGTTTATGTTACAAATGTTTCTCATCAAAAGTAAAATTTGTTTGATTTTTTTTTTGTATTTATTAATAATTCTTTAATTATTTTAGTTCAAATAAAACAAAATCTTTAACATAAGAACATCATCATCACAAATTCCATCAATATCTCGATCAACAACAATACCGTAAAATATTATTTAAAAAAAAAAATTTTTTTTTTGTTATTTAAATCTAGAAACTATCATCTACACTTCAAGCATTGAGTGAATATGATCAATGAGTTATTGCAAATATAGTTGATTTTTGGATTCAACCAGGATCATTTAAAAAAGAGTTTGAATTTTCAAAAATAAAATATAAAATTCCAGCAATGTGTTTTGGTTAACAACCAAAAATAAGTCAATTACAACAAGTACTTAAATCAATTTCCATTCATCAATTTGATGTGCTAGAAGCATGTCATCTTCATTTAACTTATAAAACAAATTTCGGTAGATCCATTAGAGGATGTGGATGACGTTGAGAGTTGATGTGAATATGAATGTAGGAAATCTGCGGAGTTAGATTTTTTAACTCCAACTCCAACTTCGAAAACTTTTTTTGAAAAGATTCTAATTTCAACTTGGGTGTGAGTGTGGAGGTGTGTGAATATCGTCTTCTATTCACCCACACCCACACTCTTGCCTATCAAAAAATATCTGCAATGATCGCAAAACGTTTGTCACGAGAAGAAATTCTTAATTTAATTACAAGAAAAAACATTTCTGTTCAATTAATATCTTGAAAAAAAAAGATACAAAAATGCGAATAAAGTTTTGGATAAATTCCACTAAGTTTTCATCAATAATGAATGATAGCAATACGTTTCATGTAATTTTTGCAAAGCCTTATTCTTTTTCTTTTACGTCTGTTAGTAGTTCAAATAATTTGAAAATACATTTAAAATCATGTATCGAATCCGATTAAACAATGGCTAGTGGCCAATATAGTGTTAAAGAATTTTATT